CAAGACCTGACGTCAGCAGCCCCCCGCCCAGAGCAATGTAAAAGGCCCAGTCTCGTTCACGCCCCCTTTAGTCCTCCAGGCTACGCCCATTTAGAGGAAGATTTGAACAGGAAATGTGATTGACGTAAATGTGATTGACGTAAGCTCCGAGGAGCGGGGTTTAGAGAACCACTTTAAAAATGTTAATTATTTCATGTGTATCGTAAATGTATTAACTTCTGTGACTTTGGGGAGTAAGTTATAAGAGGAGGGGTGTGTGACAAAGCAGGTTCCTTTGTCCCTTTAATGCCACTTTTAGTCATGTATATTGTAGCTGTTGAAGAGGGAGTGTCTCAGACAGCCATTTTGTTTTGTGTGCCAACCCATGTGGGCGGAGCCACAATGTTAAAAGCTCACAGGTGAACCTCGTCAGGGGAGTCACACCCAAGGGACAGGACTGTTTATTGTGCTTGTGCAAAAATAAATCCCCTGTTTCATCAATATTATTTGAATATGCGTTCTGCCGTCTCATTTTGACTCTCGGGCCAGCTTCCCCACATTCATAAACAGTTTCCAAAGTGCTGCACGAAAAAAACTAAAAACAAATCCATAGTAAAAAAACAAAAAATCAGATATGAAAAACCATGTGTGCATATATGTATAATCATAGAAATAACAATAAAAAGACAAAATAAATAAAAGGACCATACAACTCACGCAGTGTTAAAAGCCAGAGCATAAAATGGGTCTTAAGACGAGACCCATTTGGACACAGCAGTTTGGATATGGGGGGGCAGAGTGTTCCACAGCTTTGGTCCAGCCACAGAGAAGGCCCTGTCACCCCGGGTTTTAAGTCTCCTGGCCTAGTTCGTTTGTAAAAACCTGTGTGACAAAATTTTCAGCTCAATCTTTATGTAACGACTCCCAGTCAGATTTCAGGATTTAACTTTCAGGGGAGCTACTCTACATGTTTTAGCCAAAGCACCTGGAGGAACACAGACACAGGGTTAGCTAACCACTCACTGCCCATGAGTGAAGCTCAGAAGAATTCCTCACCTTACCTTCGGAATGCAGAGGTCAAAGGGTAGAGGCTGGGGGATCAGGGGGCGGAGCATATCACAGTCTGTGACGCCTGATTGGCTGCGAGAGGAGGAACACACAGTTATGAACAAACAGCAGCACTTTCCAAACAACCTGCGACCAGAACAAGACTTAACAAACCACAGGACACATTTCATTTCGTTCAGTTAGATATTTTAAATGATATTTGAACAAAACAGACTTTAATTAAAGCTGAAAATGTGAAAACACCAAATGGAGTGTTGGGAACGGAGGGTGTGTTGTTTGGAACCGTGTCAGCTTTCTGCAGATCACCACACTTTTGCACTATAGATACTGTTGAATACTTTAAGATACTATAGATACCATAGAATATGGTAAGACAGTATAGATACTATAGAATACTGTAAGACAGTGTAGATACTATAGAATACTGTAAGACAGTATAGATACTATAGAATACTGTAAGACAGTGTAGATACTATAGAATACTGTAAGACAGTGTAGATACTATAGAATACTGTAAGACAGTGTAGATACTATAGAATACTGTAAGACAGTATAGATACTATAGAATACTGTAAGACAGTGTAGATACTATAGAATACTGTAAGACAGTGTAGATACTATAGAATACTGTAAGACAGTGTAGATACTATAGAATACTGTAAGACAGTGTAGATACTATAGAATACTGTAAGACAGTGTAGATACTATAGAATACTGTAAGACAGTGTAGATACTATAGAATACTGTAAGACAGTGTAGATACTATAGAATACTGTAAGACAGTGTAGATACTATAGAATACTGTAAGACAGTGTAGATACTATAGAATACTGTAAGACAGTGTAGATACTATAGAATACTGTAAGACAGTGTAGATAGAATTCTGTACAAAGTGAATCCACGTGGAGTTATATGTAACATCAGTGACGAAGACACATTTAAAGGAAAGTAAGAAATATCTATGTTGAGAGCTAAAGATGCATTTGACCCATGTTTCACCTGTTGTGGCTGCGTAATGAGTGTGGAAAGAACTTCATAGCAGGGAATAGATTTAAGTTAGTTAATTATTATGTAATGCTCATAATTTAAAAATTATACTAAAAGTGGTTGAAAACAGCTAAAATATAATACACATAATTCATAAGTTATTTCAGTCGCTAAAACCAGACACCCTACAATTTAAAAAAATAAAAAATAAACTGTTCATATGGATAAACATGCAGCTAACTGTATGATGCAATACTTGAGACAGGAGACAGAGCGGCAGAATAAACCCTGCCGTTGATCAGGACAAGACAACTCTTTGGTCTCCTGTTTTCCTTTCTCACGTTTGTTAAATGTTGGCAGAAGCACATGAAACGGTACTGTTGCTCTGTTGAAAGTAAATGGACGTGTGTAAATATGAACATGTTCTGAGGTGAATTGACTTGGTAAACTGTTAGTAGCTGAATGCTAAAATGCTAAGCTAGGGGAGATGTTCAAGCTAATTTACAGAGTTGGATTATTAGGCAGGATGTTCAAAGGTAAATTTCACTAGAGAAGCAGTACGTAGTGAGCGTGCAGAAAGTAGAAAAAATACTTTTCATTGTCAAGGACAAGTGTATTCACCAAATCACCGTTAGAGAAGTGCCGCCATGTTGAAGGTTACAGTGTGTTACTACATGTTAAGCAAATCTAAATATTAATAGTGTTGATTTTCTGTGGAGAACAAACATTAAAGTAGTTTGTAACATTTGTAGTTTTGATAGCTTTGATATTATATTAATTGTATGTACAAATATGGTTAAATCTGTAAAAGAGGAGAATAAACCGTGCCGTTGCAGAGGACAAGACGAACTCATTTGGTCTCCTGTTTTCCTTTCTCAGGGTTTACAATTCTCTTCCCTCTCGGGCTCAAGAGGGGAAACATTCTGGGGGCTCGTCTGGGATTGATTTCTGTGTGAGAAAGTGCAGCAAATCATCAAACATTTAACCTATCCTCAGAACCCATAGTGAGATACCACTACAGCAGAGATGTCAACTCGTTGCGACATGCAGCGCATCATTCAAAAGAAGCTGTAATAAACTCTACAGAGGAGAACATGCTACAGAAGTTAGCAGCCAGCATCAAGGAGGATGTGGAAGAGGTATCAGGAGACGATGCATCCGCAGTTGAGCTCTATGACTTCATCATGGAATTTGTGAGAAGTGACAAATTGATGAGTCTGGAGGACGAGGGAATGTCCAGTCTGTTAATCCTCAACGACCTCATCCTGGAGCTGCAGCAACGACCTAAAGCCAACGAAGCAGAGTTAATACAGTCAGCAGAGGAGACAGCTGAACCTCAAGTGGGACCCGCCGTGATTCAGATGGACAGTCAACAATCCATCAGTAGTCAGGGCTCTGAAGCTTCAGTTTAGCCTCCGCCTCTTGTTTACCTTACAGTAGGTCCCATTTTGTTTTGTCGTCTTCACTCACGCTTTTCATGAATCACGCAGCTGCGTGAAACATATTACATCCTATCGCCACTAGGTGGCAGGTTAAGTCCGCTTTAACTCTGCCAGCGACTTAAACGCTCAGGTATAAGACTGCGTGCAAACTTCTTTTGCGTAGTGATACTATGTTGGCCGAATGGTTAGCGTTACAGGTTAGGACTCGGGGGATCCGGGTGCGATTCTTGTCTGAGGCACTTTTGGTTGCTTGCTAAAGTTTTGACTTAAGTGATGTCTGCAGTCTGAATCCCTCTCTCAGTGTGAGTTGTGTGTTTTACAATAGCGACCGTATGACAAACAAGACTGTGCCACAACCCCCATTATTTTCACTGCTTTTGTCAGTCATTCAGATCATCAGACAGCTCAACTATATCATTAACTGTGTTCGAGATAGATACAGTAGATAGCCTCTATGTTGCAGAGACAACATATACATATTTTGTACTAATGTTAATCTTTATAATTAAATTGCATTAACGTATATATTTAAAATAATGATGTATTGTCTATATAGAATTCTATGCCAATTCGAAAATAAAGACATTCTGAAAGCGATCTGCCTCTCGTGATCTTTTAGTGAGGTCTTCTCCTTGTATTTACTGTTTGGCTGAGCAAAGTTTTAATAGTATTGGTTAAAATAAATCCCATTATCAAACACTCTGGACGGCGTGATGTAAATAAGAGAGAGACGCTGGGCAACGGAATAAAAATAATGGATTGCGCCAGATTAAAATGTATGGTTTCATTTTATTGACATATTAGTAACTAAGATTTTAGCAGATGGGATTTTGGATATATTGTTTTGTTTTTCAATTGACTAATCATAATGAATGGGGCAGCGTTACGTTGCCTTTTGTTGGCCTTTAAAAATGCAAACTAAGTGCAAACATTAGCAGAGCGATAATTGCTTCAGTGAAGGAAAAACATGTGTAGCCTACAGTAACAGTCTGCAGCAAAGTATAAAATATTGAATGTTGTTTAACAGAGACATCAAACCGTTTATAGCGGTCATTGAGCTCAAATGTCTCTGTTGCAGCTCAAGTCACTGCAGTGACAATTACACAATTGAGTCTAAAGTTAGACTGAACTGTTCTACTTTAATTAACTAACTAACTAAGCAGACATTCATCAGCCAACTCCATTATATTTGTAAAACACGGTGAAAGAAAGTTTTCCCCCCCATCATAAATTTGTATTAGCAATATTGTGAGAATGTGTTTTATGTTTAAAAGTGTTGCTACTGAATGCTATTTCAAAGTAAGTGGTATAACTGGTATAACTTTCAAATTGTTAGAATACTCATTTTGAGTAATTGTATTCGGTAGACTCCGCCGAGATCGGGAGCGGCATGAGGCTGCGTCAGCCCTCGCCACAACAGCAGCGTCTAAGAGCGCCTTTTGAAATCTATCTGTCCTAAAGACAGAAGAGCCTGTGCGCATCAGGTGACTTTGATTTTCAACAGGAGTTTTCCTCTCATTCTGATCAGAGGAGCGAGGGGAGAAGCGTCTGTGGCTGCCCCCTCCTCTGCCGCTAAACGCGTGGATGTATGTCTGACATTTAAGTTTAAATGGACTACATTAAAAATTTAAGTGGACTTTTTATAGAATGAATAGTGGCAACCCGTGCGTTAATACGCCCAGCCTTGTGTGACACCCAGCGCGTTTTACAAGTTTACTACAGTCTAGCAACTATTTTAAATGTGTTGGCCTAATTACTAAGTATGTTTTAGAAAAAATGTAAACGTCAACAAAATCAAAAGTGTCATAGCCTGTACTTGAACCCAGGTCCTCTCGCACTAGAGTCCAGCTCCTTATCATTGAGCTATAAAGCCACAGAAAGTTGTCTGGTGAAGAGAGAACAAAGAGCGGTGAGAAGCCATTGTTCCCAACCCTGCTCACAAGTGCCATCTGGTGGTTGTTTGGGTCATTGCAGCATCACTGAAAAAATAAAAATAAAAAGACGCGTGTTTCACACGTGAGTCTCGTGCTATTCACGCGTGAAAGGCGACAAAACTAAATGGGACCTACTGTAGCTGTCTGTGCTAACGAGAGACCTGTGGCTTTTCTCAAGAAAGCGGGGGCCAGTGGTCCGCTGTGATTGGTCACAATCTGGACCCGAAACACATTCTCTCCAAAATAGCCACTGTCAATGCCGCTCACCCTGGTGAAAAAGACCAAATAGTCCAGCCAGCAGCTGAAGTGAAAGCCACAGTACTACAGACCCAATCAGAGGTGCAAGCCCAGCGCACAGCTATCCATGAACTGACCGCCCAGGTTTCAGCTTTAACTAAAACCCTGGAAAAAGCTTTTCCACCCACAGCTAGAGGACCAGAGCCAATACAGACACTAAAGACAACCAAACCTCCTAGATGCCAATCTTGCATCACTCAAGGACTTGATCGTTGCCATTACTGTTTTAAGTGTGGACAAGAGGGGCACAGAGGTGTTGGGTGCCTACTCAAAAACAAGATATTGGAAACGTGAAGAGGTCACTGGAGAGGGACCACCAGTGATTGTGACCACACCCCGACCAGCGTCCCACATAAAAGAACATCAAGAAAAGATTTTTTCCAAGGTCCAGTGACATATGAAAACTCAAAGAAGACAGGGAAGCAGAGTAGCTAAACTTATTGGTAAAAGATGTATACTTGAATGTTATCTTAATGGTGTACGGACAGACATGCTCTTAGACAGCGGGGCACAAGTAACCATGGTAACCAAATCTTGGCTCCAAAGTAACCTACCAGACATTCAGATTCTGTCCCTCAAAGATCTTTTACCTGATAATCCTCTCAGAGTAACAGCAGCTAATGGGACTAATGTACCGTTTGATGGATGGGTTGAACTTCAAAAGTCCTGACCATGGTGAAGGAGCCATTAAGGTACCAGTTTTAGTCAGCCAGAGCTGCGTTAGTGGACTTCTTTTAGGCTTCAATGTAATCGAAGAAATAATCTTGGAAAGTCTTGAAAAACCAGGTAGTGTTAACTTGAGTGATTTATTAGCCGAAGCATTAAAATTAAAGATACACACGGCAGAGACTATAGTATCTGTGATAAGAGGGGATACAGATAGGGACAACATAATTAATGGTACTGTCAGAGAGAGTGTCAGGTTTTAGCGACTGAAATTCCTTATGAATTATGTGTATTATATTTTAGCTGTTTTTAACCACTTTTAGTATATTTTTTTGAATTATGAGCCTTACACTCTCCCCTGCTTTTATTAATGTGTCCTGATATTTGTCAACGAAGCATGCTCAATACACTTCTGATTAACAAAAATATGGCTGACCCACATAAAGAAGGACAACAGTGCTTGTAATGGGATGACCTGGTATCAAAGAGTTCACTCCTGGATTCCAGTGGTGATATGTTGGTTGTCCCGATGCATCATAGGTGAACATCTCTCTGGTCCTGGCGCTCTGCTGCGATCTCCTGAGGTTCATCTCGGGATGTTCCTCCCTCTGTGGCACCAGCTCTTCCAGTGGTCTCTCCTGTGTTGGTTCCTCTACTTGGAGAAAGTCCAACCTCCAGGGTGATTATAAACTCTTAAAAGAGAAGTTGTGTGAGTTTAACAGAGTACTACGTAGAACAAGAGAATTATACTTTTCTGAAACTATTGAAGGCTGCAGCAACAATCTGCGTGTTCTATTTTCAACAATCAATAGATTAACGAACCCCCCTGTTGAGTTGCCATTAGAACACTACTCCAAATCCAGGTGTAATGAGTTTGCACAGTTCTTCAGAGACAAGGTTCAGGGTATTAGAAATGCCATCACCTCTACAACACAAGTAACAATGCAACATCCAGTGAGGCTTTGTGAGCTAGCTCAATTTGCACCTGTCAATGATGAAACTGTTAAAAAGATAATCACAGGTCTTAGTTCCTCTACCTGCAGTCTGGATGTACTACCTCCTAGATTTCTGAAGTCTGTTATGTGTAGTCTATTACCCTCATTGACACAAATAGTAAACATGTCTTTTTTATCTGGAACATTTCCAATGGCCCTGAAAAAGGCAGTCATCAGGCCCCTCCTAAAAAAGAGCAGTTTGGATGCTGCGGTACTTGAAAATTACCGTCCCATCTCAAATCTGCCTTTCATGGGAAAAATTCTTGAAAAAGTTGCCTACCAACAACTTACTGAATTTTTAATATCTAATGACTCATTTGACATGTTCCAGTCTGGCTTTAGACCACACCACAGTACTGAGACCGCTCTAGTCAAGGTAACAAATGATATTCGGCTTAACACTGATGCAGGAAAAGTCTCTGTTTTAGTCATGTTAGATCTGAGTGCCGCTTTCGACACCGTTGACCATGAGATTCTCATGCAGAGACTGGAGGACTGGGTTGGTGTTGCTGGTACCGCCCTAAGCTGGTTTAGGTCCTATCTAGAAGAAAGGAAGTATTGTGTGGAGATTGGAGACTATGTCTCAGATAATATGGCCCTGACCTGCGGAGTGCCACAGGGGTCGATTCTGGGACCTCTCCTGTTCAATATTTACATGCTGCCATTAGGTCAGTTAATTCAAAGTATGAAAGTGTCCTACCACAATTACGCTGATGACACTCAGATCTATGTCTCACTGACTGCAGGAGAGCATGGACCGGTGGACCCACTCCTTCGCTGTATCCAGCGGATCAGTGAGTGGATGCAATGCAATTTTCTCCAGCTAAATGCGGACAAAACCGAAATGATTGTCTTTGGTCCCGAGAAACAAAGAGAGACCGTCATTTGTCACCTTCAGTCTCTCTCCCTAAGGCCTTTAAATAAGGTCAGAAATCTGGGAGTAATAATGGACTCTGACTTAAACTTCAATAGCCACATTGGATCGGTAACATCAGCAGCTTTTTATCATCTGAAAAATATTGCCAAAATTAAAAATATTGTGTCCAAAGCAGACTTGGAGATTCTTATCCATTCTTTTGTTTCCAGTAGGCTGGATTACTGCAATGGCCTGCTCACAGGTATCTCCAAACATGCAGTAAAACAGCTGCAGTATATTCAAAATGCTGCAGCCCGAGTCCTGACTAGAACCAGGAAGTACGACCACATTAGTCCGGTCCTCAGGTCTCTGCACTGGCTTCCCGTGGCCCAGAGGATAGACTTTAAAGCAGCTCTCCTGGTGTACAAGTCTCTCCATGGCCTTGCACCAAAGTACATCCATGATATGCTAGTCCCATATGAACCAGCCCGGACTCTGAGGAGCGCAGGGACGGGACTCCTGTTAGTGCCCAGAGTCAGGACTAGACAGGGGGAGGCTGCTTTTCAGATTTATGCAGCTAAAGTCTGGAACAGTCTTCCTGAGGATGTGAGACTGGCTGCCTCTCTGTCAATGTTCAAATCCATGTTAAAGACTTTTCTTTTTTCCTGTGCATACAACTAAAGAATTTTATCTTTTTAACACACCTTGTTATTTATTGTTGTAACTTTTTGTGTTTTTAACTATTTTATTGTTTTTAATTACTTGTGTGATTCTTATGTTTTTAAATTACTTATGTGATTTTAATGCTTTTTAATTACATATGTGTTTTTAATTGTATTTTAATGGTGATGATTTGTGCATTGTGTGGTGTGGACTGTGAGGCGCTTTGTGTTGCCCTGTGCAGGAAAAGCGCCCTATAAATAAAGATTGATTGATTGATTGATTGATACTTGATGGTCTGGATCAATATAGTCTTGTACATTGTCCATCACCTGCAATGCATCGTCTCTTTGGACCTGCTTGTCTTGTGGCAGTGCCGAATGGAACTCTTGAGCAGTAGGATTTAGTCTCTCATCAGTTGGATGGCTTTGCTCAGACTGCCCTACGTCGATGTGGATGGGAGGTGGAGTGACAATGCAGGAGTTTTTTATACTGTGAGCGTGAGGGCTATTTTTTAACACACTGTCCAGGTCAGGTCCTGTGTGGATCGGTGGCAGTGTGTGTCTCCGGTGTTTGCTTGGTCCTAGCTCCAGCATCACGGTCCTCACGCTCTCCTGGTCTCTGCTCTGGAGTGGGACTGAGATCTTTGGGAGAGAGCGCTCCTTGACAGTGAACCGTGCAGTGTCCAAAGCCAGCGCTCGCTCAAATCGCCGGTTGTCGCCTTCTTTTGTGTAAACATCATAAAGTTGCTGCAACTGAGGAGGCACCAGCAAACTGTGCTCACTGATGAAGAGCCTCTGTCCCTGGATGATCTGGTCACAGAGCTGTTGGTGTGTCTCAAAGCGCTGCATGGCCTGGTCCTTCCTCCGCAGCAGACTGTCTTTGAGCAGAGACGAAGACCGCAGCTCGGCCTGGTCCAGCTCTAGCTCATGGACCTTACACAGTAGCTCCAGGACCTGTCTCTGCGACTCACAGCTCACGGTGTGGGGAAGACGCTCCTCCAGACGCCCGGTCTGGACCTTCAACTGAGCCAGACGCCGTTCAAAGGAGGCCTTGTCTCGGTGGATCCTCTTTTGCTCACTCATCAGCTGAAGTAGACTCTCCCGGGTGCTGAACACGTCTGCTGTCTTGGACTCAGAGCTATCTGAGTCTCTCTCTCTGGTCTGAGTCTTTTTCTCTCCACTTTGTGCCTTTCTTTCACTCCTTCTGCTGCTCACTCCTCCGCTTCCAGCTGCGCTGCTCCTGCTCCCAGTCTGCGATGGTGAGGAGGTGGTGGGACGTCTCCACCTGCAGCTCCAACTCAGCGCTGTCCAGGTCCATCAGGGTTCTGCTGATCTTCATCTGCTCCCTGAACCCCTGCAGCAACTGCTCACGGAGCCTCTGGACCTCAGGCCTGCTCTGGGAGAGGACCTCAGCTTGCACATGTCGTATATCCCTCTTGTTGGAGCTCTGATGTTGTTGCTGCTCATTGATCTTCGTCTGCAGTCTCTGGATCTCTCCTCTGAGTTCTGTGATGATGCTGGTGTACTGAGCGATATGGTGCGACACACTGGTTATGTTCCTCTTCACCCTTGTGCGTATATGTTTGGCTCGGTCAGTGTAGCTCAGCGTTGCTCGACTCCTCAAAGGCGATGGAGGCTGGTGAGATGTGAGCAATCATCACCGTGCGGCTGTTTCCTCCCAATGAGTCCTTCAGCAGCCTGGTTAGCTTGCTGTCTCTGTAGTTGACGTAGCCCTGTGCGTTCTTGTCGTTCAGGGCGTTGATGCAGTTCCCAAGTGCGAGCAGAGAGCGGTTAATGTGGGCTCTTTCTTTCAGGCGCGGACCCGTGATTTGAGTCTGTGCAGACTCAAAGAGGGTGGATCAGCAGAGAGCGTGAGGTGCGTATGAAGACAACTGATGTATGTGATTAAGAATTGTATTGTAATAGTTCACTGACTGAAATATTATTGCACAAAGAAACAAAAAATCAAATACACAAGATTTCAGATATAAAAAACACAAATAGGTTCCACTACAAAGTCTGTAGGCAAAAAGAGTCCAACAACAAAAGAACGCTTGCTAATTGCAAGGTTTGATTTAAGTTCCGTTCGAGGGGAAGAAAAAATAAAGAAAAGTAATCCACAATAGGCGTGTAGGAAGGCAAATAGACAGTTTGTCCTACCGCGTAGTAGTCTAGCTCGCCATTTGTTGAGTTGTTGTGGAGAAAGGATCAGTTCATCGGGTCAATGGGTTGGTCCGCCCCATAACAAAAACCTGACCTGAGCAATGTAGGGCAAACACGGCACACCATGCACAGCCCGCTACTTAAAAGAACATGGCGGCTCTAATTATGAAGCTTTAATAATGTGCGATTGGAGAGTTTCAGCGCGTTTGCTCTCATGTGCCGTCTGTCAATGCTGCAGCCACAACGGAGACGGGAGGGGGGAGGAGATGCGCGCAGCTGATACTTAAAGAGACGGGCGCTTTTGGGGGAAGTTGGCTCCCAAAATAAAAGTCTTTAAGACATAATAGCCGTTTCAGTTAGGCATGTTTATTCAATACTTTCTCTTGGGAGCAATTGGCACGGAGCATGTCCTCATGGTCTCCTGGAGGATCCATGAGCTCCACCATCTGGTCATCCACATGATGAGCCACGATGGTTGCAGACGCCTCCAGCTCAGAGTTGCTCAAAGGTCGGATCCTGAGGGCGACCTTTAGCTGATGGTCCTTGGTCTCAATGTCTTTCATGTCTGACTTTTTCGAAAATGAAATTTGAGCTGGAGTTTCCTCTCAGTCAAAGCTCCAATTAATCCACAAATGTGTTGTTGTCGTAGTGGTCCAAACAGAAAATTCACAAATCCTCCATTTTATCTGAATTCTACAGAAAAGAAATTATGAGCTAAAAGGAGGAAGAACCAGCCGAAGCAGGACTCATGGTGTCTGTCCTTCAGAGCTCTGTGTCTGTGAGAGAATCTTGGACATGTTTCTCTGGTGTGACCGCACTAGAGCCGGGACCTGGGCAGTGTGGTCCTGACCATGTGACACTGTTACTATGCGCTCATTCGCTTCCTCTGATCTGTCTCCCTCCGGTCTCCCTCTGGTCTCTCTCAGGTTCCTTTTCTCTTCCCTGGTCTCTCTCTGGTCCCTCCGTTTAACAGTCGCCTCGTGCCCAGTGTCGAGGTACTTCTCCCGGGGACACTCCAGTCGTTAGTCCGGCGTTTGGATGACTTTTCCCGCGAAGAGAAGTGCAGTATTCCCGCTGTTTTATGGTTCTCTTTTCTCGGCCACACTCCAGCATCACGGTCCTCACACTCTCCTGGTCCGATTCCAGGTCTAGGGTCTGGTCCGGGGCCTGGTCTAGCTTCTGGACTCGGCTCTGGAGTGGGACTGAGATCTTTGGGAGAGAGCGCTCCTTGACAGTGAACCGTGCAGTGTCCAAAGCCAGCACTCGCTCAAATCGCCGGTTGTCGCCTTCTTTTGTGTAAACATCATAAAATTGCTGCAACTGAGGAGGCACCAGTAAACTGTGCTCACTGATGAAGAGCCTCTGTCCCTGGATGATCTGGTCACAGAGCTGTTGGTGTGTCTCAAAGCGCTGCATGGCCTGGTCCTTCCTCCGCAGCAGACTGTCTTTGAGCAGAGACAAGGCCCGCAGCTTGGCCTGGTCCAGATCCATCTGCTCCCTGACCCCCTGAAGCAACTGCTCACGGAGCCTCTGGACCTCAGGCCTGCTCTGGGAGAGGACCTCAGCTTGTGTAATGGGGCCGAGATGGTGTAAAATAAAATATTTTACTAAAATGTTAAAAACCTGAAAACAATGAGAGCAACTGATCCAGTAAAAACAATACAGTAAATGCCGATTAAAAATATTTAATTACAAATATTAAAACCAAATGTTAAAATCCAAATTGTAAAAATGTGTAACAATAAAATAAAGTTAAAAGGGAAATCCCCGTCGAGGCACGGCGCGGCGCGTCTGATCTTGAGCAGGCTCCTGTGTTGCGGCTGCTCCTGCACACAAAATACACCGGCAGGCAACGGGCCGAAAGGAACGGTAAAAGAGAGCCTGGGTCGTCAGAAAACTTACAGGCAAGGCAGGGTTTCCCCTGCCTTTTCTGTAGTCCCGTAGGGTATTGTCCGACTTCCAGGTGTGTGTCCCTGGCCCACTCTCCGCTGAACCTCCGCTCCCAACAGCCCTCGCCTATGGGAGATAGAACAGCAGCAGTGCCCAGCTCTCACGGCCGCAATCCCTACTTGAGCCCTGCACGGGCCTATTATCTGGGCCCGAGCCCGGCCCTGGCCCGAGGGGGTGGCGCCCCAGCCCGGCCCGGCCCGATATGGTTTCTGAATTTTCAGGCCCGAAACCCGCATCAAGCCCGCCTTTTTTTTTTGTAACCTCCCATAACAATGTTTTAGCGTAGTATATAGTGCCGCGTACTGATATGAACGCAGACTTAGCTAGAGGGCGGAGTTATACATGGTAGTGATGTGTTGCAATGAGTTCTGTGTGTGCGGAGTGGTGCAGAGTGAACGGCCGCATCTGTATGATGCCCAGATGCTGCAACACACCTGTAAGTAACGCTATGTGCCGTCAATGACAACACTACACAGAACAACAAACACTACAGCGTGATAGAACGCTATATTCAGTGGGTGCGTTCGTAAATGTATTCTGCCGCTCTGAAAATGAAGAGCCCGAGCCCGGCCCGTCTCCGAGGTCATTATGCGGTTGGGGCCCTCGGGCCAAGGGCTCAAGTGCAGGGCTCTAATCCCTACAACCCAACAGTTTCCTCTCCCCCGGCGTGTAGTAGACCTCGTGGTGTTCTTCCCAAAGTAAGTAATCTTTATTTATATACCGTCTTTGACAGACCAGAGTCACAAAGCGGTTTACAAGTGTTATTTTTTGGGCATTGGTCCACTCACTCCACACAGAGATGGGAGCGGGGTTGCCAGTACAGGAGGCGCATGCCAGACCTATTTTACATATTTTTAGTGGTAGGGGAAACCGGAGTACCCGGAGGAAACCTACGCAGACAAGGGGAGAACATGCAAACTCCACTCAGAAAGGCCCTGGTCCTTCTTGCTGAGAGGCGAGAGTGCTATCCACTCAGCCACCGTGCCGCCCCAAAGGCTTGTGGGTTCTGCTGTTCTGCTCTGGCTGCTTCGGGTCAGTCCTCCTGTGTGCGTTCCCGACCTCCTCTAGCAATGGCCACGGCCACGGCCTGGCCACCGGCCGCCAGCCCACGGGGCTGTCTCGCTCTTCGGCTCTCCCCCGTCTCTCGCTCTCCGGCTTCTTCTTTTTTTAAATGCTGCGCTCTCCAGGTGCTTTTATCAGGCCATCTGATTGCTCCCACAGGTGTCTTTATTTTGGGCTGATCAGGGATGACACGTGCGTGGTTGTAAAACCAAGAGTCTAAAATCATGCAATTAAAATCACAGCAAAATAAAAACACTCAGCATGCATCAAATATAAAAAGCCCCCAACTTGTGTCCCATCACACTTGCACATGTCGTATCCGTCTTGTTGGAGCTCTGATGTTGTTGCTGCTCATTGATCTTTGTCTGCAGTCTCTGGATCTCTCCTCTGAGTTCTGTGATGATGCTGGTGTACTGAGCGATATGGTGCGACACACTGGTCATGTTCTTCACCCTTGTGCGTATATGTTTGGCTGGATCAGCGTAGCTCAGCGTTCCTCGACTCCTCCAAGGCTGTAGAGATGTGAGCAATCATCACCGTGCGGCTGTTTCCTCCCACCGAGTCCTTCAGCAGCCTGGTGAGCTTGCTATTCATAGTTGCCAGACTGGTGAGATAAGGTGTCACATAAAGTTGAGACGACTGGGTGACAGTTTTATTTGAACCTACATGGGAACCAGACATCCCAGATGGTTTACAGTTGTTTCCTGCTTCAGTTAATGCACGGCTTAGGGCATCCAAAGTTGTTAGGATACCAGTCAGTAACCAAAGTAAGCATGACATTTTTCTGCCAGCAAGAATTATGTTGGGTCACATTGAGGAGATTACAGAGTGCAGGCCAGTAAATATTGGTTCAGCTATAGACATTGAGACCTGTGCATGTGCAGCTCAGGTGAACTCGACTAGCGATAAAATAGCCAGTACAGAACAGTCTAATGCCAAGGAAAAGTGGCATCCCCCTGTTAACTTAGAGCACCTGGATCCAGAACAGCAGAGGTTAGAGCGTCAAATGCTTTATGAGGAATCAGACATCTTCATTAAAGGGGCTACAGTTGAAAACTAGTTTAGTGGATAAGATCCCAGTCCAGAAATCCTACAAGTCCAACCTTAAACCTCTATATAAAGAAATAAAGTATTATGTACAAAATCTTCTGAACCAAGGATGGATTCGCAAGTCAACACATTCCTACAGTTCACCAGTAGTGTGCATTCCAAAGAAAGACCAAAGTCTTCGGCTCTGTGTTGATTTCAGATCGACACCCATTACCTCGCATACAGGACTTATTAGACAGGTTGGGTGGTCACCCATGGTTCTCCATCTAGATCAAGGGAGTGCATATCACCAAAGATTTGTCAGTGTAGAGTCTCGTCACCTCACAGCTTTCAGCACTCCGTGGGGACTGAATGAATGGATAAGAATACCATTCGGATACCAAAGGAAAAAGACAATATGACAAATCGCTCAGGGGTGTAGTTCTTCAACCAGTGGACAGAGTGTTTGTCAGGAACCTATCAGAGAGGGACGGAACGTACTACGCTCGTACTGGGAACAGATATTGCCCAGGGTAGTGGAAAGAGTTGATGAGGGACCAGTGTACAAGGTGCGAGCAGAAAAGGGCTCCAATACGCTGCGTGAGCTCCACAGGAACTTGTTTCTTCCTGTCAACGACCTACCCATTAAGGTGGACATTCCAGCTTTTCGTCCAAAGAAAAGCCTCCAGTTACTCTGTCGATGTACGCTAGGCCTTACAAGCACTGTATTGAGCATGCTTTTGTAGCGGGCAGTAGGGGGCTCCCTTTCCTAAATGAGGAGTTGCCGCTTCTTGCCTAATAGAGGAAGTGGCCTCCCCTTTAAATATTCCCCCGCGCCTGGTGCTCAGTCTCGACTGCTGCTGGCTGGTGACAGGTGTGTTTTACCCTCCCTCGCTTTTAGCATTTTTAATCTGTTCTTAATTTACTTCTCTGGTCTTAGAGCCTTTTTGTAGGACTCCGGTGGTGGCTATTTTCCCCCGTTTTATCGCAATTTTACGGTGGGACAAGCGTTTTAGCACTTTGTTTACATTTTATTGCATTTGAGTTTAACGTTTGTTTCCATTTTAATTGCAGATTTTAACCTGCTACTGTTTTGTTTAGAGTTTGTTTTTGGGTTTCCTTTTTGAGTTGTATCATTTTTGTAGCTTTTAGGAACCCTTTTAGCTCTGCACCAGTCCTGTATAGCAGTCCCTGGGTCTTTTAGCCTTTAGATTTAGTTTCCCTTGGATGTGCTTGGGCGGGGGATTTGGCCCATTTTTCTGTTTGCACTTGGTATTTTTGTTATTTAGTGCGTTTGTGGGTAGCACTTTCCGTTTTGTTTGGGGTGGGGCTACCCCCTCTCAAGCCATCCCTGTTTGGTTTCTGTTTAAGACTTGTCTGCTTTCAGATTTCGTTTGGCTCTGGCCCAGGGGCGGCCAGATTTTAATTGGACTTTACTTTTATCATATTGGCCATTTTCACCTGAATGTTACTTTTTTTTATAAATAAATATCATCCTTTTTAAACCTAACTCTGTTATAAATAAACTTTTAATTGCATATTTTAAAAGCACTGTCTCTGCTGTCTTTTACAAAACTTACCTGTGTGTGTCCTTTGGTTTTATTAATACTTTAGTTATTTTATTGGTTATTTTTTAAGTACCTCGGGTCACAAACGTGGCGTTGCTGGCGGGATTTGTAACAGAGACATGTGTTTTTAATTGTGTGATTTATTGGTGCAGTAGTGCGTAGGCTTAGTAGTAAATACAAAACAGTAGCAGGCCCGGCGTTGGACCGTGGCCTGGCCTACCTGAACCTACCCTGTGACTACTTGTTTGATTCTGCTCTCATCTCCATCTGAAGTAGACATGGACGCCGTTGAAGCGCAGGAATTGAGGGATCTGGTGAAACGACTACAAACTGACAATGAACTTTTACGACAGGAGCAAGCAGCTGCTCAGGAGGACCCTGGTGAGGGTACTTCCACTCGCAACTCTGCTGGTAACCCTACTCGACGCACCTCTGGCCATGGACACTCAACTACCGGTGACCGCATTCTGTACATTCCTCGTGAGCGTAAATGCCCCATTTTTAGAGGGAGTACGGGCATTGGAATTAATGACTGGGTAGAGGAGGTACGGGCTAGTATGCGGGCTAGGTACCTTTCACCACTTGACCAGGCTTATTTTATTTATGATCATATCGAGGGAGAAGCAAAGGAAGAAATTAGGTACAGGCCTGGAGCCGAGCGGGAAAATCCAGAAACTATTCTGAGAATTTTGCAGGAACTGTATGGGTGTTCAAAATCATATGTTGCGCTTCAAGAGAATTTCTTTTCTAGAAAACAGCTGGAAGGTGAAACACTTCAGGAGTATTCACATGCTTTATTTTGTTTGATGGAAAAGGTTACCAAAAGTGCCCCGGGTGTGTTTCAAAATTCAGCTATTCTGTTAAGAGACCAATTTGTTGAGC